TACTCTGTTTTCGTGTGTCTTTACTCCTTTTTTCAGTCGAAAATAAGGAAAAAATCTGTAAGTGTTTCGTAAGATAGGGTTTGAAAATTTTTGGGTTTTGCATCTTCTCTGAGTTATTTTCCCATGGTTTTTCTCTAGCTATATTAATTAGGTTTCCGTGAAGTAGCTTAGTTCCTAGGTTAAGATGAGTTTGTTCTTGAATGTCCTTCCTTTTTTTGGTTTCTTTCAGATTTCGTTGAACTGAAACATTAATTCGTGAAGTAGCTTATTTGCTATGTCTTTATTTTTTTATATGTTTTACATCTATTCTGAAACATGATTTCGTTTTGTAATATACTCAATCATGCACTGAACCCTTTTTTATGCATTCAGCTAATTAAATTGATCGATTTATCTGATGAAACTCTTAGTAAATGTATATTTTTTATACTGGAGATATACTAACTACCTTCTGTTTTTGGTTTTGTCTTAACAACAGGGTACTGTTGTGCAGGGATTCATTCCTTATGGAAGGATCCAGACTTATAAGCGTCACCTGAAAGCTGGTGCTACTTATCGGCTCAACAACTTTTTTGGATCAAAAAACAAGCCTAACTACCGGGTATTTGATGGCGCTGTCACTGTTAGCTTTTCATGGAACTCTGTCCTATCTTCTCTTGAGGACAGCACAATCCATTTCCTTGGTGATCGGTTCCGGGTCCATGGGTACAGAGAGTTTGATGCTGGTTGCGAGAAGAAAGGTGATCTATATGGTACGTTTTTGCTATCCTTTCTGAATTGTATATTAGTTTACTCTTAGGTGTTGTAGTGATTCTGAAGTGTTTGCCTAAGAGATATATTACATTGAGTTGATTGTCTTCTCTTGCAGATTATATTGGCCACATCAGACTTGTGAATGAAGAGGTACCAAGTGACAGATTTCAGCTTGATGAGGCAAGGGTCGCTGGGTCCCGTCGAATTGATCTTCATGTTCAGACGCATGAGTAAGATAATGCTCATCTTAATTCATTTTACAAATGGTTTTACTTACTACGGAAGTTTGTATTTCGCAGCGATCCTGTGCTGAAGCTCTGCCTATGGGACAATGCCGCTTTTGAGTTTTGTGAGAAGTTTAAAGCTTCTGGATGCACCGCACGTGCCATCTTGGTCACCACGTTAAATCCAAAACGTTTTGAAGGTTTGTACTATTAGCTTCTAATTGTTTTTAAAGGTGTGAAATGGAATTGAGTACCTCTTTGGTTGGTTAGAATTGGACCGAATATTGTTTAGATTCCTTATAACATTATTTTTCGACCTTTCATGTCTTGGTCCTGTTTTGTACAGTCCTGACCCTATCTTCTATGACTTCTTCACGAGTGTTTTTGGATGATAACATCCAAGAAACTCGGGACTACCTCGGCTGGTAAGATTTATGGTCTCATGTTCTGTAAATTTTATTTGAATTACTCCTTTACTAAACTATCTGGTCTGTCATTGCTTCAGGTACAACTCGAACCTGGACGTAGCCAATGGGGTAAATAGCAATTGTGGTGGTCAAGCCTGAGCCAGCTACTTTGGGGGAGCTCCTCGCCAACATGAAGCAGCCATCTGCGAAGGTATTATAATTTCATCTCTGAAGAATTTAAACTTATCTAAATAACAACATCAGTTTAAGATAAATTAACTTATCTAAATTCCTCATTATATTTTTTTAGGTTGGTTGGTATGAATGCACAGCAACAATTGATGATGTTGTGCACGGTTCTAAGTGGTACTATATCGGATGTGGTGGTTTTCATACAAAGGCAACCATAGGACCTAAAACACTGATGTGTAAGAAATGTGGGAAGAATGAAATCGTTGGTGTCCCCCAGTAAGTGTTTTAAAATTACGTGAATTCAATCACCGACTGCATTTTACTAATATTATCTCTTACACAGATACCTTTCGAAGCTTTCTGTTTATGATCACCAGGATCAAGCGATGTTTGTTGTCCTTGGTGATGCTGGTGAGGAGTTGTTAGGGAAGAAAGCTGCTGAGTTGGTTGAGAGCTATTACCAGGTAATAAATATGTGTGTTTTTAGGATTTAGGAATGTACTTTACAAATCTGGTGATGTTTGCTGATGGTGTCTACGTATGTTAGGCAAATGATGGTGCAAGTGAGGATGACATAGTTCCAGTGCCTCAAGCTATGCTTGATACCATTGGGCAGACCCGGAGGTTCATTGTGAAGATGTCTAGCCATAATCTGACTGCCAAGACTCAGACCTTAACTGTGACTAAGGTGCTCCCTATTGAAGCACCAGAGCCTGAAGCCAACGTAGGAGATAATGCTGATGTTGAGCCAGGTAATGAAGGGGAGGAACATGGAGCTGAGTCGGTGAAAAGGGTTGCTGATGGGGTTGAATCAGAAGCTTCCAAGCGTGCCAAATGTGGCTGATAAGGTCTTATGATTAAGAACCACCCATTGCTGTTTGGTTTTATTTATTTTCCTAAGACTCTGTTTTTTCCCATGTTTTGCTTGCATACATGTTTTGGCATTTGAGTTTATCTATTTAGCTTTCAGACATGGTTTTGCTTTGGTTATCTGAATTTGTGTTGAGATTAACTGTTTGAGGGATTTACCTTCGTAAATCTCCTTCTTTCTACTCCTCTGTATGTTACGTAGAAAAGAGTACTTATATGAGTTTGTGATTGAGCATATCACAGGTAAATTGATATAGTATTATATTTTCAAGATTGAATACCTATTAGCTATACACGTTCAAAATTGAAATGCTTTTCTAACTACTCAGATCATATAATCTATGAAATGTGTAACGAAAATCACATATTATTGTGAAATCATTTACTTGCTATACGTTATGCATCGGACCACAGTTATTATTTGGAATCATGTTTAAAACTAAATCATGCAAAAACCTTTACTTGCTATACGTTACGTTACGATATCTACCTAATAAAAGAGAATATATACTTACCAAAACTAAATTCTAAATATACGCTCTATTGAATTGTCTTTCATTACCTTTTGGATCTTTTTCCTTCACATTCACCGTCATAAGAACAAACCCACAGCAGAGAGGAAAACAAAGTCAAACACGTTAAAGCACCTACGAAGATTTTGCAAATTCCGTCCAACCGCGTCCCCTTCGTTTTGTCGGTGTAATATTACTGTCCTATATCATTTTAACTCAGTTTTTTGGAGTCTCCTGCCGCTTTATCCGAATGAGTTGTGGATTCTAACATTTTTTCAATTTTCTTCAGGAAGATTGCTATTACAGCTGACTTGGAAAGCCAACTTCAACTTAATCCATGGTTTCTGAAGGTAAACATGTCTTTATCTAACTGTTTGTGAGTATCTAATAATCAAATCTTAAAAGAAAGCTTTGTAACAATATAACCCTTTAGGTAGATAACTTATAATACTATAAAACCTATCAACAATTTTATAATTGTACATATATTTTAAAATAAACATAAAAAGCGTCATTTTAATGATTCACTTCAAATCCTGATTGGATACGCCCCTATATGCTTGAAGAGTTGAATCGAACTACGTGTTTAGTTTTATTCGTAACCAAACTTTGAATATGATACCAAACATAAACATTAATATCAACAAAATAAAACTATATATTAGACTAATTATTTATGTAATAAATAATTATTGTAGATACTCAATAATATCTTAATGTATTTTGGAAACATATTAGAAATTAAAATTGGGTATGGTACAATTTTCTTTTGAAATTTTTAAGTTTCAAGTTCTTTCGGATATCCATTTAAGTTCGGGTTCGGTTCGGGTAAAAATCATAACCCGAAATACAATAAAACAGGATCCATTCGATATTTATATTGGGCTCGGATCGGTTCATATTCTTTTTTATCGGGTCGGATTCGGTTCGGTTCGGATTTTCGGGTTCAGACATTAGAATATATTTAAGCAAGAAAAACCAAATTATTTACGCTATTACTAATTATAATTAATTTCTTCCATGCTGAAACCAGAAGCATTTATAGATTAATGGATTTATATCTAAAACAACCAAACAGTTTTACGAAAGTTATACAACAAATAAGAAAATAAACCATCTGGAAAAATAGTATTTATAGCAGATTATTATATAATATATATATGAACTGATTTATATTGTTGTTAAATGTTCACTAACTTATTCTAATTCATTTGCAGGCCCCATCTCAGCAAATTCGCATCCCATCTACTTCCTCTTTGTCAAAAAAACCTCTTCTGATCCATTATTCTACCATTATCCTGTTTTACTGAACTTTATACTTCATTCTTAATAACAATGAACCCCTGCTCTGCTTCTAAACATTAATTATGCAAAGCTTTCATTTTTAATAGATATATTATCATGTGGAAGTACAAAATGGACTACACATAACAACTAATATTACATATCCATTGGATTATTAAATCCAAATCAAGTCACCCCCTTAAGTTTTCTAAATATATATTCCATTAAAGAAACTATATCTACTTCATTTGTTTTGTAATTCAAACAAAAATCCAACATATCTAACTTTTTTATTATCCACCTACATATCTAAATTAATTATTTGTTCATTTTATACACTTACTTTTAAAACTATTTCCATTTAGTACCAACATTACTCATAAGTTCGAATAAATTTTTTAAAAAACTTCCAAATGAATCACGATAAATCTTAAAATCAAGAATCTATAACTTATCAAACAATACACTAAACAAAAAAATCTGGCCACCAATTAAAGCTCAAAAATTAACGTTAACTATTTGCTAAATTTATCAATGCATATTTGATGTTATTTTACGAATAAATATATACGACCAACAATTATTTAAGTGTTAAATATTGATAGAATACGCACTTAAATATCAAGATCCAATATTCTTATTTATTTTTCCCATTACATTATTAAAAAAAAATTTAAATAACAAAACGTGAAACATCATATTTAGAAAAGTAAATAAAGCAAAGAAATATGTAGATGAGGAAGTTAATCTCATGTACACTAAACAAGATTTGGCCTGCAATATGGACATGTTAAGTTTGTTTTAGCCCATTTCAAAATGCAATGACGATGGTAGGAATGAAAACAATCTAAAGAGTTGATCTCTCCTCCCGTACCGAACTTTTCGCAGCAAATAGGGCAAATATCATCCTCTTCGGTAGTGAGGGGCCCTCTTCGGTTTACACAAAGTTTGGTTAGGGTTATCCTCTGCAATGAGTCTGGGTTTTGATCAGATATTTTAACAAAAATATCAAGATCTGTACATGTGGGGTCTTCGATAGTCGGTATAGTGCGTGCCACAAAGTCAGAGGTCTCCTCGATAATTTCCATCACCAAATCAAAATCAAAATCATGGTATAGAAGCATGTACTCCATCTCTCTGACCGTATCATAGTTTAGATGGCCATTGCTAACCGCCCTCAATGCGACATGTATCACAATTCCTGTTTGCCACGTTCTTGGCCTCTTTATCTCCACGGTAATGTTTCTTTTTGGTGATGGCAAAGATGGTTCTGATTTGTGGCTTAAAACCCAAAATACCTTACTCATGGTTAAATTTGATGCTAATGGAATCAGAATGTATAAGGTTTATATAAGTGACAAATTATAAAAGCTTTTAATAAACATAAGTTACAGCATTCATATATATTGAATAGTAAAAAATAATGAATAAGTTACATAAATTGGTTTTTGACTAAATAAATAAATCATATTTATTGAAAAATTTAAATCCCAAATTCAGAACGATTTGACTTCAACAATAAGGTTGTTGATTATAAGAATAATTAACATTGGAAATTAATTATTTGTTTTCTTTCCAAAAGCCCATCAATATTTGGTAGACTGACCAAGAACTCATATACCACACATTCTCATCTAATAATATGCTTATACACAATATTAATCTCCTGCAAAAGTGTCGCCCCACCTTGCTCAACATAGGCATTACCTAAATGTTAATACGACCAACTAAATTAAAAGAATTGTTCAAATATTACATTAATACAACTTTAATCTAAAAATAAAACTGATATAAAGTAACAAGACATACATATAATGAAAATAGTCAATACACCTATTTACTCATATTAAAAAAACTGTTACCCATTTACCTTGGACCAAACTGGTACACTTATTAAATACATTTAAAACAGTCACTCATATTCTATAAAATACAAAATTACCTAAATGAAACATACAACAAGCAAAATTTTATATGCACAACAACTAGAATTTTTTTTCGTAAAAGAAATAACCCGGGCGTAGCCCGGGGAGAGAATCTAGTATACATAAAGAAACAAAAAAACGTTGTTAGATCGTAACGCGAACTGAATCGTCAGTCGGTTTAACAAAATAAGAATGGAAGACGACTGAAAAAGAAGAATGGGAATAACCCTAATTGCTGATGGCTGCTGGTTCAGAGGTGGATTTTGTGGGTTATAGGGCTTGGAAAATTAGAGTTGGGCCGAAAAGTTATAAGTGTGAAGCCCGAATAATGTTGTGGCGGAAAGAACAAAAGGCAGAGTTCCGAAAATGGTTGACAGATGTCACGTGCAGAGGCATCGAATTAATGACGTGACACAGTTAGGAATGAGGGAAACCCTCTTTATAATAATAGATAGATGTGTTTCCAGGCACATGTACATGTATATATGTATATAGTTTTGTCTGGAAAGATATATTATATACATTTATTTTCCTTAGAAAGCTTTTAAAGTCTTAAAAGGGTGTTATTGGTTAATATATTTTGACTGATTTAGAAATCTGTATAGCATTTATAAATTTTAGCAAAATATACTGATTTTCAAATAAGTACTTATAAATCCGAAGGTTTTCCTTCAGATTTTAGTCCTTGTATTTGTAACAAAGAAATCCACACAAATCCACCCCAATTCATTATAAAATCAAATCCATCAATGAATCCGTATGATTGAATAACACTTGATTTGAATTAGAAATTATAAATCATGGAACCAATAACACTTGATTTTAATTTGGATTTTAAAATCATGGAACCAATAACACTGAATTTTGTTTATAGTTATAAATCCATTCAAATACATAAACCAATAACACCCACTTAACTACTGTAAAGCGAGACACTAGTTTAAGGGTCAAAGTAACATCTAATTAAGAAAATTTGAAATTTATATTAATGAATAGCAATATTTTTTAGATTTTTTTTTGTTTTAAAATAAACTTTTTGGTTTTATTGTCATCATTATAGCCAAAAAGTACAAGATATCAACAAAGATATATATTTCTATTTCTAAAAGATGTAGAAAACTGCCAACAGAAAAATATCAAAGAATCAATATCAGTCTATAGTCGTTAATTTGTTTTCAAAATCAGACCGAAAGTTGATCTAGACAATTATTTGGATCACAATTCAATATGGTATAACCGAGTCAAATCTAGTTCAATAACCTAGCTCAATATATTTTAATATATAAATTTTAAAATAATGTTAGTAAATATGATACATAACTAAATATAAATAATATCAAATATATTATTCATATGGTTAGTTTATAAAGTTTTGATAGTTTTGATGATTTTTATCCGGTTCAGTAACTTTCAGAACTAATCCAGCTATGTTATGGTTGAACCAATTGCTCGATATATCCCAGTTTTGTGATCAGTTCATGGTCGAACATGAACATGGTCCAACCATCGGGTCGATCTGGTTTTAAAAACAATGATAAACATAGTTTGCAAATCATTAAAATAAACCTTCCTTATATACAATATATATTTTTTAACTTTCTAATGAAACAGAAATTCATTGGTGAAACAATTTTTGTACAGAAATTGCATTTAATTAGAATTTTAAACTGGACATATATGAATTGGTCGAACTTTACCCTGTTTGATTATAAATCATTACTAGATTTTGGCATGCGCGCCTGCGTGGATGTATTTTTCAAAATATATTGCTATTTGTTTTTCATATCAGTATATATATCATATACGTGTCATCATATAATTAATAGTATTTTGTATGTACCATAATATAAATTATTGCTGAGTTTGCAAGTCGACTCCCTCCGCTGCAAATTGAAACATTTTTTTATTCAAAAATTTGACACGCAAGTAGAAATTTATTATACTTGAACCTGTCACTACAAGAAAAATGGGCTTTACTAGCGGACGAAAAACGTTATCTAACGATTCAACAGCGGTTTAAGGAACGCTGTATCATCGCCCGTCATAGTAGGTCAAGCACATTAGATAGCGGTTTTTGCTACTGCTATTATATTGTGATATAGTATAGCGTTTCTTTGTATGCAATTAAATATTTTTTAATAACGCTTAATTTTTGTTATTATTTACGTTAAATTATTATTTATTTTAATTATTTATTTTGATTATTTATATATATTTTAAATATTTATTTTTATTTTAATTATTTAGAAATAAACACGTAATAGAATCTTTATTTATTAAACATTATAAATTACATTCAATATGAAATAAGAAGCGGTTTACACTAAGCCAGATTTTTTAAAAACATAAACCTAATCTTACCTAAACCTAATTTTAATTAAAACTAATCAAAACCTAATCTTCTTGGCCGCCTCCTCGCTGATAGCTCCACGACGACAAGCTCCTCTCACAACCACTAGCTTCTTCGTTGCCTTCTCACAGAAAGGCCCATGGCTACCACCTCTTCTCACGACCACCAGCTTCTCATCGCCTCCTAGCCGCAAACCCAATGACCACCACATCTGCTAACAATCACCACCTCTGCTCACAATCCACAACTTTTATCAAGAACAAAAAATCAGATCTAAAAGAGAGAGATAAAGAGGAGGAGCCATCTTACGCTAGTTGTGGAGGAGAGGAGGTTTGGAGGCGCAGATGAGTTGTCACGAAGAAGAAGAAGAGGAGGCGTCACTTCTTCACGGAACAGAGGAGGAGGCCTCTGTCATTAACGAAGACAGATTGGATGATGGAGATGGCAGAGATAGAGATCTCGCGACGGTCGAGATCCGTAACGAGAAGACGTGGGCAGACAGAGGTGGAGAAGAGATGAGATACAAAGATGAGAGGTTGGCGGTGAAGACGGAAGCAAAAGGGACGAGGGAGAGAGAGAGAGAGAGGAAGCAACACAGATTGTCTTTGATGAGACTGTAAAGAAGAAGAAAAAAGATGTACATAGAGAGTTTGTCGTAGTGAAGAATACAAAGATAAGAAAATTGTTTCAGATCAAATAAATCTGAACCATTCAATAGATTTAATCAATGGTCTATATTTTGCCATCCACACACTTTTTGTTTCAGCCAATGAAAGAGTAGAAGGAGGATTGCTGTATTTTTTTCTAAGCACAAAAGAAATTACTAATTGTGGTTTTCTATTTTTATTGTAGTTTTAGTATTATATAGAGATAAATATTTTAAAAATTGTAAATATTAATGTTAGAGATTAATTTAAATTATTAGAAGAATTTTTTTAGTGTTGAGATTTTATTTTTTATTTACTTGTAGAGTTTTAAATTAAAATCTGAACATAAAATTATGAGTATAGGGTTTAAAGGTTAAATTTTTATGATTTGTGATTAATTTTTGAGAAAAGATTAATTTTGAGTTTGTATCTAAGACTTGAAGTTAATTTTAAAATTTGATGATGAAATATTAAAGTTTGAAGTTTGTATTTATCATATAGGGTTCAAAAAGTTGTTTAGGGTTTAGGGATTCGAAAAGCCAAACATAGCGTTTTTAGTTATATTTTGCTATTAATCATAAGCGTTACAGAAAAAACTATAAGCTATCATAGCGTTTCCAAATATGTTATTCTATTATAGCGTTTTCAAATATACAAACGCTATCTAAAACTAACGGGTATATCAATCATAGCATAATCGGAAAAAACGCTATGCTCGTTTGCTATTAAAACACAAATTTCTTGTAGTGTGTCATGTTTAAACTAGTGAGTAAAATTTAATATTTTTATCACAAATATATTTCACAAAATGTATTCCAAATCATTTAAACTTTAGTTGACATCATAATATTTCAAAGTGCGGATATTATTACTTTTTAAATTCTATAAAAAATTGAAAGTTAATGGATCATGTGTTTTTGTATGAGATAACCTACTACATTTATGATTTGTGGAAGTTTTTTTTTTGCTTTTTAGTTTATAAAACAGCAAAGATATTCATTTAATATAGATTTCTATACTTTTTAAAATGTGGGTTTAATATTTAACAATGATTTTGTTGATTAACAAAATAAATTTAAAATATTCTTAGGAACATCACTATATAATTTGAAATTTTCTGATATATTTTTGTAATCAAATCATATAAATTTGCTAAGATAATGATTTACATTAAGAAAAATGTCCCAGATCTAACCTAGAAAATAAATATGAAATGTGAAGATAATGAATTAACCTGAGATTAATAACAAAAAGTTTGATTTCTTTTACAAAATGCTGCAATCTTTACACCCTACAAAATAAAGAAAATTTGAATCAGATATTGATTAGAAAATGAATTTAAAAAAAAATCAAACTTCTGTAACTTACATTTTCGTCAGCGAGGACCAACTCGAATGTGTTGCCTCCATAACTGGTGTTTTGTTTCCAAAAATGAAGAACCTTAATGCAAATTTGTGAATTATCTTTGTAAGGTTTAACACCGTTAAGGAATACAAAAGTGTTTGGTTTTGTCATTTTTTTTTATTGGAGGTGATAGTGAATGTCGAATGATGAATATGAGAAGAGCTATATATACGCCTCATATTTTAGGTAGGGCTTCAAAACAAATATACTCTCCAACAATTCAGAAAACCAATTAATAGTCTATAATTAATACCAAATCTAGAGATTTAGTATCTAATCGAGTTTTTAGGAAAAGTAGGTTGACTTGGAGGAGTGATAATTCCATAAAGGATTGTTTATATCTATCGAATTGTGCTTTATAATTAATACCAAATCAAGAGCTTTAAATGTAACCGATATTTTCTGTTTAAAAAGAATAAGAATATACTGAGGATTTTCGTAAAGAATAAGAAGTTTGATTATAATTATGTTCCAAATAATTATAAGATACCGAATCATCACTAACTTCCTAAATAATAGATAACTTCAATATAATTAACTGCGTAAAGATTAGATTAGACTAACAATAATATCATATTGTTATTAAACTATAGATTAATAATATGAGGTTCAACTTAAAAATTCACCTAGAAGAAGTTGTAATGTTTATGTTTTAATAAGATAGATATGCAATTTCTTGCAAAATTAATGTGTGTGTAACATGCAACCTAACTATACTTTGGGTTACGGCCATTTTCCCGGGATGTTACCATTGTTACCGTCCAGATATAAAGCTATTTATGATGCAATGCATATTTTGTTTTCCAAACATGGATAAAAGTTAATTTCCTATGAATATACATTTTAGGCAGTTTCTTTACAAGTATGAGTTTTAGCTCATAAGTTTGGAAAAGTTTGTGGCAAGCATAGAGTTATAGTAATTAGTAACCATAGAAGAGAATTTTCAATTGAATCCTAAAAGGGAAGAAACAGAAAGACACTAATTAGTGGATGTGATTCCCTCGGCCACGGCAATCTTTTTACCTCTTCCACAAATATTCGTCTGTTCCATATATATCTTGAATATTTTATGTTGATTTTATTGTCATTTTACCTCTAGTTAAGTTATAACCAGATATCTCTATGATCACATCAAAGCCAATTCAATAAGCAGAATGTCAGGTTCCATATAGCATTGTTGATGGTTAAGAGTGGGAAGATTGGTATGATCATTTGGTCTCATTGTCACTTAACACGTATATGGGTCCATTCTTAGGGCTCATTTGAATATTTAGAAAGATGGTCTATCTGTAGGTTATATCTCTTTTTGAGAGATTAATTTTGATTTTTCTATAAACCTAAGATATCCCCAAATCATTCCAAAAAGAAAAAAAAAATTGTATGATCATTTCTTCTCATGATCCTACCATTCTTCTGAAAATATTAATCTGGCCTTTTAATTTTTTTTTTTTTGGCTTTTTCTTAGAGCCAGAATAAATTTTATATAAAAAGATATTTGAGTATTTTTCTTAATCAACTTCAGGAATGAAGAGGAATATCGGATTTGGAGGTGAACCATAAAATACAACCCGATAATACATTTGGGCATCGACTTTTCTCATCACTACTTGGGCCTGAACTTCGTCATGTTATAGGAAATTTGGGTAAGGAAACCTTGACCTATTTTGGGTTATAAAACCTAACCTAATGAATGTATGGAACACACGCTAACAACGCACCAAAAAACAAAGGGTTGGCCATTTTTTTTTATCCAAACCATTTTTTTAATGAAGGGTTTTCTGTTTTCTAGGGAAAGGTGTTTTTTTGGGTGCGAATGTTTTTCTAGGGAAATTTTCCAGCTTCTACGACGAAGTGGATCTTTATCTGCATGTACAATGATGCAGCAGTCAGGGTTGGCCCAACCCAGCAGATGGCCCTATTCCAATTTGAAAAAATGAATATTTTTTCTTCTATAATTTTTTTTATCTAAACCGAAAAAGGCTACAAATTTTTTGGGCTCTAATCAGTGGTTTACTTGGCATGTGTCCTGGACCGGGCCTGGCAGCAGTTTCCAGCTTTGACGACGAAGTAAGTCGATTTTTATCTGCACGTACTGTTGTGACGGATTTGATAAGATACAAATTAACAGATTGAATAAACAATGAAAAACGACACAGAGATTTAACGTGGTTTAATCCACGAGCAAAAAGAATAATTTATTAATGGAGGTCAGTTTTCAGAGTACAATTCGTGCTTACAGAATAGGATAAAACCCTAAAGATATATACAAAAAATAAGCGTTTAATGAAACTTTCCATATTTCTCGGATTTGACACAATCGACCGATCCATGGCTTTTGGATCGACTAATCTATATCAGGTGATCGATCGATCCATGACTCCTAGATCGAACGATCTATATCAGATCGCAGATTCAAGGCATATTTCAACAAATCTCCACCTTGACTTGAATCCTCCATAATTAGAAGTACCAGAATGCACTTCTTCGTGCTTAGATGTACCAGACTCTCTCTTCGCCTCAGATGTTCCATCGAACTCAGATATCAGATGTCCCGTCGGACCAGATGTTGCTGAGAGCCAGATGCCCTCACTTGGGCCGGACGCCCATCAGGACCAGATTTAACAGCTTGAGATATTCAGCAAGTCAAGACAATGCTTGAACTTGCTATGAAACTGGCTTTGTGAACATATCCACATGATTATCAGTTGTTTCTACCTTCTTCACTTCAATCATCTTCTCATCTCTCAGAAAATGGTATCTCACATCAATATGTTTGGTTCTCTCATGATGAACTTGATTCTTGGCTAAACAGATAGCACTCAAGCTATCACAGAATACAATAGCCTGATCATGATGAAGACCAAGATCACTGACCAATCCTCTCAACCATATTGCCTCCTTAGTAGCTTCTGTCAATGCCATATACTCTGCCTCAGTAGTAGACAAAGTCACTGTCGACTGCAAAGTTGCCTTCCAGTTCATAACCGAACCACCCAAAGTAAATACGTAACCAGTCATAGATCTCTTATTGTCCACATCTTCGACATAATCATAATCCCAATACCCAGTAACCAGTTGGATCCTTGTCTCCATATACAAGACCTGCATCAGATGTACCTTTAAGGTACCAGACAATCTTCTTCACAGCCATCCAGTGCTCCTTTCGTTGCTGAACCATAAACCTACTCACAACACTGGCTGCATTTGCAAGATCTGGTCTTGTACAGACCATAACATACATCAAACTTCCTACATCGCTAACATAAGGGACTCGTGACATATAATCGATTTCCCCTTCAGACATTTCATCACTCATGGTAGGATGAAAATTTGCAGCACATGGAGTATTAATAGGCTTAGCATTAAGCATCTCGAATCTTGTCAAGACCTTTTCAATGTAGGCCTTTTCTGACAAGAACAACTTCTTCTTCACCCTATCTCTGAAGATCTCCATCCCTAGATCTTCCTCGCAGCACCCAAATCCTTCATCTCAAACTCATAACTTGGTATCTCTTTAAGCTTCTGAACATCACCATTCTTCTTGGCAGGTATTAGCATGTCATCTACGTACAACATTAGGTAGATATACGATCCATCC